ACCACTGCCACCTCAGCGCCACGACTCATTCTGGCACCCCTCATTGCCCCCCGGTGACCCCCCATCCGGCAGCACACGACCATAAGCAAGGCGCACCTGCGTCACCACGCCCGCGCAGGGGGCGCACACCGCGGTCTCCATCTTCATGGCGCTCATCACCACCAGCTGCTGCCCCGCGTGCACGCCTTGACCGGGTTTGACCGAGACCTCGATCACGCTGCCGGCCATGGGGGCGCCGACGCTCCCCAGGATAGAGGTGTCGGACTGGGGGGGTGTGGGTTGGGGTTGGGGTTGGGGGTGACCGGGCTGCGTGCGTGTGTGTGTATGTGTGTGTGTGTGTGAATGACAACAGCATCATGCCACTGCGACTGCCATCATGCATTCGTGAGCACCAGAGCGCTGTCGTCGACTGCCGACCCTCCCAGGGCGCCGCGCACCCCCCACCCAACACCCGCCTCAGAGCAGGCGTGGCAGCAGACGGCGCGCCCGCCTCCGCCACCATACCCGGCGGCAGGCGCTCACGCGCGCGCCGGTGGCAGCCCCGCGCGCGGACAGCACCACAGCTGGTCCCCTTTCGCCTCCCATAATCGACACCGCTTCCACGCACACAACACATGCATAAAAAAATAACACACACACCCACAGCTGCGCTCAACATCCATGACACACACAACACAGAGACACCAACACATCCCCCCTCAAACACACACACACACACACGCACGCACGCACGCGCGCGCGCACCTTCTCCCTGACTGCCTTCTTGACCAGGGCGTCCGCGGTGCGCGTGTCGGCCACCTCCACCACCCTGGGCACGCCGTTGGCCTCGAAGAAGACCTCCCTCCTGCCGGAGGGCTGCAGCTCCCCGGCCGCCTTGAGCTTGATGTGGGTGCCGACACCCTGGGGGGAAGGGGGGGTCGGGGGTCCAGGGTGGTGGTGAGAGGGGGTGAGCATGGTGAGTGCCAAGTGCGCTTGGGTGTGTGTGAATGTGCGTGTGGGTGGGGGGGATGCAAAACCGGTGCCAAGCATGTGCGCGGGGGGCAGGTGTGTGTGTATTTGAGTACGTGTGTGTGTTTGAGAGAGAGAGAGAGAGAGAGAGAGAGAGAGAGAGAGAGAGAGAGAGAGAGAGAGAGAGAGAGAGAGAGAGAGAGAGAGAGAGAGAGCGAGTTTGATCTTATGTACCCCAAAAACAACCGGACCCCCACCTTGGCCAGCTCAATCTCGACGTCCTCGTCCTCCGCCAGTGGCACCAGGAAGGCCCTCGTGGGTAGCTTCTCAACCAGGTTGCTGTACCGCATGACGTGGCTCATGTACTCCTCAAACACCTGAGGGGCGGATGGCGGGCCGATTTGGGGGGGCGGATTTGAGGGGCGGATGGGCGAGTGAGTCGTGGAGAGGCGTGGGGCGAGCGGCGGCGCGGCATGTGAGTGTGTAAGTGCATGCGCGCAAGCGCGTGCGTGCGTGCGTGCGTGTGTTCGCGAAAGACGGCGGAAAACAAAGACCCGGAAGCCGGAGGGGTCCACACCTTGGGGTAGAGGGCCGCGGAGAGGACGTCCCTGTGTGTGATGAGTGAGTTGCCGTACTTCTCCTTGAGCCGCGACTCCAGACTCTCGAGGTTCATGGGGGGCAGGCTGGCCCCGGGGCGGCCCTCGATGGTGGGC